TTAGACTTTGATTTTCAAATTTGAAATAATATTTTCTTGACACTTGATGTTCATTGTAAATTTTACTTCTCTCTATTCTTCAAACTACTAAATTTTCGGTGCAAAAAGATTTCTGTTGTATTGCAGATTAATAATTATTGAACAAATAAAATGCAAACAAGGAGCTAAAAATAATGGCAATTCCTTAGTGTGATGTGATTTGTTGACGTTATATTACAAGTTGGAACTGTGCTGACCTTTGAACTCAGCCAATCACAATCTACTGAGTTTAACTATGACCAATCAGAATCAAATACTCAGATTTGGGTTGCGCAGCTGGGGGTCAACAAGAAATGCTATGAATTTTCACAGACTGTGTTATAATATAATACAGTCTGTGCACAGGCTATGTTGTTGCAGTGTTAGCAGCATCGTACAAGAACAAATTTGATATCGAAGGAACTAGTTTCTGTTCCAAAATATCACGCACTCGAACCGACTTGACCTTGTAGCTCAGTTGGTAGATTATTGGACTAGAAAAACAAAGGTCGTGGGTTCGAATCCCACCACAGTCAAGCAAACTTTCAGCTTCCCTGGTCTGGACACACTCAGAGTAACATCACAAATATACGGTATATCAAAATATTTATCGAATATTACAAAAAAATAAATATAAAGTTGTCCTAAAGGGCAAAGCTCTACACTACAGATTTCTATTATAAAAACCCCTTGCTTGCAAGTACGCTAAAAATGCTGCAAAAGATGTGTTTTTAAAGCCTTATACTTAGCAATTAATTAAGATATGTGCCGATAGATCGTTGTTTCATCGCCTCACGAAGTATTAAAATTCTTCGCAATCACTGCGCGCAAAAGAGAGAATGTGGCTGCACAAATGACCTCTCAATGTTTTTTTTTTTGTTAGCCAAGAGCTCTCGCTTGCGGCAGGTATAGCGAAAAATTTTCGAGACCTTAAGATTCACATTTACGGCAAACCACTAACAACAAACTTTGAATCGCATTGCGAGGAAAACTGTAAACTGTTAGAAGTTAAGACAAATTGTAGCCAAAAACCTATGCTCAAAATCGATTTGGAATTTGTAGTAACTGTAAAGGTGAATCATAAGGTCTCTATTAGAAATTTGGTGATTAGCCACAGAAATTCAAACAGGCTTCAAAAATGCTCTCATAAACTGGCTTAAGGGTTACCTTTTTTCAGTAATGTTCTACTTTCGAAACCATCCTGATCTTTTTCTTTGCCATTGCCATTGCCATTGCCAAACCACTTTGCTTTTTTTTTTCAGGCCTGATTCCAATCTTCGCTTTTGATACATGATGATAAGTTCCTGCAGCAACCAAGGACACACGACTGGTGAAGATTATTAACTTCTTATGCTTAAGTATCAAGCTTAACGATGGGGTGTACTCTGTATATGGTAAGTTATGTCATGCTCTTACTTTTGCATTGCATTCAGTGGACCACATGCGGAAATACACTAATTTCAAAACATGTTAATACATGCAAAATTTAATCCTTGACGGTGTAGCACATAGGCTATTAGGTATAAACATCTAGTGACATAACACCAACACACACACAAAAAACATCATAGGTGGTATATTTGTCACTTTCAAGAAAGAAACGAAGGCAAAAAACTCATTGTATGAGTCATTAACCGCTTTTAAGAAAAATTTCGTCATGGTCATTTCCAGATTCCATAATCAACATTGCAACTATAAAAAAACTGAATTATATAACCACTTGCTTTCATGTAAAAATATTAGGTTTCCAGGAGCGACGTGCCCACGCCTTAGGAATTTCAGAGCTGACCCTAATAAGTAATCCGCGGATTGTGTCTTTTCCGGACATAATCCGCTCCACTAGCGAATAGTGTCCCCTTTACTGAAATGAAATCATTTAGCAGAAAAATTCATATAATGACTTTAAAATATACTGACTATATAATGACTTTAAAATATAGATATATTATAGTTCTTCAGTTACAATGATATTGATGGTTTGATGGTATGACTCATCTGTCTTGGGATTTGCTTAGTGATTGTGAAAACAAATAATTCAGATGTAGAATAGTTGTATAGAAATGTAGCCGGAACGGTTTGCATGACTCATGATCATTTAATTTTTCGAAAAATGTCTACAATTTAATAATATCAAGAGTAGTGCCATTTTTTCCGTGTCGGTCATTCCATTACCATTTCCGATCAGCTTTATATATATATAATCTTAAAGGAATACCGAATGGTTTTCCGTGCAGGATTGCGTGATTCATGCACCAGGGATGTTGCGAGACTTTCGGATATCGTAAAAATAATCGTAAAAATAAAATACAATACAACGGTAACTCCGAATAAAGTAAGCATTTTGATTCAACGTTTCGACTTTATTTAGTCATCATCAGGAATGGTTATATTACATGTGCATGCGTTATATATACTCTACGTAATTTGATATATAATTAAAAGAAAACC